GCTTGGGCAGAGGCTGATGAAGTCTGCGAGGGAATTTCAGGGAGCTCTCAGAGCTGCCACCGCCTTGCCCAGGGGTTCTCCTTACCCTGACGCTCAGCTTGGTGACCCTGTCCCAGAGGGCCGGGCAAGCTTGGGAAGCAAGAGCAAGCCAGTTAGATGACCGTGGGTAGCTGCAGGGGTTAGCTTTGCAGCGTCAGAAGATGCAGGTGCAGCCCACAGCAATGGTCTCCATGACCATCTGGTACTTCTTGTGACACTTCTTCCCAGAGGGCTTGTGCCCCACCTCGTCTGGCCCCTGGCAGAGCAGCCGTCGGACGGGCAGCCGGCTGTAGATGGGGATGCTGGCCATGGTGCGATCCTCCTGCATGGTGAAGGGGTTAATGCAGCCAGTGCAGAGGCACCGGGCCTCGGGGATGTCTGCTGGGATCCGCGCTGCGTCGTGGTTTATGCTGGGGAGAGGGAAAATAAGGCGAGGCTGGGCAGACGCTGAGGTGATGGGGCAGTGGGTGTTTGGGACGGGCAGGGCGATGCCTCACAGGGTGAAATGAGGTGCTGTGTCACATCACCCCCCCAGCAGCCATGCAGCCCTGTGATTCTGGAGCTGTGGCTGCCATGGCACTGCTGGGACAGAGCATCCCCCAGGTCCCTACCTCGAGCTCACCTGTAGGCCCAGGGGGACAGGCTCCTCCGGTTGGACCTCCAGAGCCTCAAGTTGACCTGGCACTTGGTGTCACCCGGCTCAGAGCTGTTCTTCAGCTGGCGTGCTACGTCCTGGATGCTGCGCTCATAGTCTGCCATGGTGGTGTAGGGGTCATCCGGTGCCCAGGTGAGGGCAGGGGCAGCTGTGGGGGCCCGCGCCGGGCCCCTTCTCCTGCCCTTTGCTGCCTTGCCTTGATCCTTCGCTTCAGGGACCAGGACCATGGCGAAGGTGAAGATGCAGAGGAGAAGCTGAGGAGGAAGGAAGATGGGGCATGGCTGTGGCCCACAGGGCTGGTGTGGAAGGAGAGCTCTTCCACCCCCCATGGGTTACTGGGTGATGGCAGGACTGCATTGACTTTGGGGTGGCACCTGCAAGCCCCAAAGTGCGATGATGGCCTAAAGGCAAGACCCGTGGAAGCACAGGAGGGCAGTTTGCAGGGCTGGCAGGCACACAGTTGTGGTGAAGCTCTAGCCCAAGCTGCAGCTGATGCACGAGGCTGTAAATCCCTTTGCCCTGGTTGCAGCTGGCAATTTGTGGTGCCCCCAGTGCCCCTGCCCATGCTGCCCAAGCTGTGCACGGTCCCTTCCCTGCCCACCCCAAGGGGGCTGCATGCTGGGAGGGATGGGTGCACCCTCAGCTCGGGCTGTACCTGGGCAGTCTCTGGTTTAAAAGGAGCCTTAGAGGTGACACAGTCAAGAATGGGATCTTTATCCAAACCCTCCTTTCCCTCCCTCTGTGCTCCGAGGACGGTGAGAGAGAAAAGAAAGATGCTTTCTCCTTTCCTTCTCCCTCCAGCCTTTCAGGGCTGAGCTCCGGTGTGCTGACACCCGGCAGGCTGCCCAGCAGCAAACAAAGTTGCTTTCTGTAGTCCTGCTCCTTGCTCCTCGTGTCCCTGCAGCTGGCTGCAGGCAGCCCCGCACCCTGCCCGCGGCCCA